AACAACATTTTCTGACTTTGTTGATATTTGGTCTGTGAAAGTTTACATGCCACATTTCCAATTATCACGGTGGCTCATGCTCAGGTCTAATTTCGCTGGGGGTCCCATGCTATTAGACTGCAGCCTCCAATATCACTTCTCAACTACCTCAGTCTGAAAGGAAGCAAGGCGATTGCTTGATAGAAGGCTTATATAAATCCTAATCATTCTTTTAAGTGCTAGATACAGAATACAGGACTCTGGAGGTAAATAAAAGGTAAGTGGTGATCTTTCACAGAAACACATTTATGGTGTTGGACAGGTAGAAGTTTTTAATTAAAAAAATTCTGACATGAGCAGTCTTTGTGAGATCTCTAGTAACATCAGATTAAAAGAAGTGAACTAGAACTTGATGCAAAGCCCCTTGTTAAAAGGTAATTTGTTACTTCTAAAACCATAAAAACAAGATGATCGATGTCTCCAAATTTTATGATGAGGTGTTTCCATCAGCAGTAGCATTTCTGTTCTAATGCTACCATATGAAACATTCAAAAGCACACACAATCCATATACTAAGACCCCACATCCTTTCACAAAATCAGTAGCTGCCTCCACCCTGTTTGACAGATGTAAATTCTGTTTGAGGACAGTTCTAACCCACTAAAAAAAAAAAAAAAAAAAAAAAAAAAAAAAGAAATACACGGCAGTGCTTTTAATGTTTAAACTGATCATATACAGAATTCGGTCCAAAACCCACTGATAGTTTTGTTTGCAAAATGATTTTGTTTCAATTCTTTACAAAACAAAACTGAAAGCCAGCTAACAATGACCAAAGTATCATATCCAGGCCTTTTTGCCTATAGAGCAACAAACGCTACTTTAATGCAGATGAGGAATTGCAATAAAACATGCAGAGCCAAGCTCTGTAGGTTTTATTAGCAAATAAAAAGGGAATAATAATGTACGACACTGCTGTATCCACTCTGCAACATCTAGAACCAAGACTGACACAGCTATTCATTTATAAATTGTTTGCTGGCTTTTTTTTTTTGCCATTAAATCAATGGGAGCATAATCTTTTAAGATGAAGCATATACACATTTTTGGAGCGAATGACTTGGATAATAAAATTTATATTTCTGTTCCTTTTCAGTGATAATAATTGAATTTCCAGTTTGCATAAAGATTTAAAAAATGCTGAATGTTTTTGTTGGCATGATATAATTAAACTCTGTATGTCGAAACAATTAAACATAATTAAAAAAATAAATAAATAGCAGTACTTAAAAGATGGCCGACATGCTTTCCGAGAACAATACAGCCAGCAACCAAAAAATGTGACAAATATATCATTCCTAAATGTGGAGTAATATATATATATATAAAAAAAAAAAAAAAAGTTGTAGAATATCACGTGCGCGCTGCAGATGGCAAATTTCATTGTCTCCTTCGGTCACCTTACTTGTGTGCTCCGGTGCAGAAACACCACTGTATTTTGGACTACATTTTCTAAGTCATGAAGATTGTCTGCAGGATCGATGAGACATTTTCAATGACAATATTATATAACCACCTGGGAGCGAAAAAGGATAATTACTAACCCAGGAATCATCATACCTTAAGTCCAGCCTTTCATTTAACATTGTTTAAAAAAAATCTGAATGCAGCAATGTATCTTTTGTAAAGGCCTGGAACTTAACATAACCACAGTCTTCATTTCCTAGTCTCAGTCAAGATTATTCCAATGCCAAATTGTAGTGGGAAATTCTGCACAAGGAAAGGTTTGTGATGAAATTGGTAAATGCATATGTAGTCCATCCGGCTGCAATGGGTGAATTACAAGGTCTAAACATGGTGCACAATGATGGATTCGTAGCATTGCAAGCTTGGGACAACAAGATTTTACTCTTTGCACATCACATAGCGATACCTCTCAGCGGTAGCCTTGGACATGGCTGACCTACTGAACTTTTATGCTCAGCTGAGGAAACGAGCATCATATTGTTGAATATGGGAATACACAGTCTACAGTCGGTCCATTCTGAAAGTGTCTTCTGTGGCAGGGTCAGCCAAGACCATATCTGGATCATTCAGCATGTGAAGACCATCCAATGTCAAAGGGTCAATTTTCAGTTCATCCAAAGGAAACTGTGAATCAGAATCAAAGCTCACATCTCCTACACCAGCCAGAGTACTGGTAAGTTCTTTTGATAAGCTTGGGGGAGACTCCCCTGTAACTGTAACACAAAAAAAAAAAGCAATGCATATTATCATAAAGATCACTCTAAAATATTATCAAATGTAACATAAAACACCACATGAAAGAAGCCCACACATATATATGCAGAGCATGCAAAATGCACACATATATATATATAAAAAAGATATGCATACCTGTGAGAATGATGTTGGGGATGTTGCTGTGACTGGAATAATTTAGCTGCTGCGAGTCCTGTAAGCTACCATGACTGCTTGTAAGTCCCATCATAGCTGCCTGAGAGTAGTTAAGGGTTGAGCAAGGACTGTACAGACTGTTGGAGCTAATCGCATTTTCAATCATATTAAACTGCTCAAGCTGCAAAAAAAAAAAAAAAAAAAAAAAAAGGGAAAGGATTCTATTATAAACACACTGCTGGAGGTATAATGTCTTAAATATAATAATTTTCTAAGTGTCAAACCAGTATCCAAAGGCATCTCAAAATGTGCCACAAATTTTAGGGAGACCTTTCACCAAAGCACAATTTTCAATTGCATTGAAGCTTGACTTCTTCAAATTGGACTTACTGGTACATCCCGCCCCCTGGACAGTGTTACAACTCAATACCAGAGCCTCTATTGACTGGGATTTTGCATTGTGCCATTTAGGCAGATCAGGGTTACAATCTAAAACAAAAGTCAAGCTTACATGTGGACACAGCATGCAGCATGAATCTCCAACTATCTTGTAAAGGGTTAATTAGGGTAAATTTTTGTGCCTGCTCTTCAACCATAATATTAGTTAAAATACTATTTTGGATAGGAAATGAGTACTTAATGATAAAAGTGCACCTGGGCATAGACTATGGGCCGTAAAGTATTTACTTTTTTTTTTTTTTTTTTTAACGAAAAAAAAGTAAAAAAAAAAAAAAAAAAAAAAGCCATTACCGCTCTCTCTGGCTGCACTACTGTGAAGAAATTAATTTCCAAAGATGCAAAAGTAAGGTTTCAGTTGGTTTATAGCAGCTTTCAAGTACCTGGTGTTTGTTTACATTATAAGGCTGGCGGGCTGCTAAGACTCTGCTTCAATAGAAAGTAATATATATGGCAATCTGATGGACATATCTGGGTTTGGTGGTTGCCAGGAGAACGGTACTTGCCTAACTGCATTGTGCCAAGTGCAAAGTGTAAAGTTTGATTGGGGGGGGGGGGGAATATGGTGTGGGGTTGTTTTTCAGGGGTTTGGCTTGGCCCCTTAGTTCCAGTGAAGGGAACTCTTAAGGCGTCAGCATTCCAAGACATTTGGACAGTTTCATGCTCCTAATTTGTGGGAACAGTTTGGGGATGGCCCCTTCCTGTTCCGTTAAAATTCTATATATTTTAGCAACTCCGTGTCTCCCATCTCCCCGTGTATCTAATAAACTTTCAAATAAATTCCACTCCTTTCTAATTCTCAAAAAAGTGTTTTAATTGGTGATATCGGACCTCGTCCATTCTGCTAAAAACCTCTCCCTTTAATTTCTCCATCTCTCTATAAGATCTAAGATCCTCACCCACCATTATATCTCTCAGTTGCGTATCCTGTTTAATAATCCAATTCCCTGTGATGTCTTCCTTCCCAGGTACAAAGTAATCTGTATTTTTAAGTGGCATTAACTGTGAGTTGAAAGCCCAACCCTTTTGTCTGAATAACATATCCCAGACTTTTAAAACAATAAAAGTGTACACACTTGTGTTAACATCTAGACCTCTATAATGTGTAGGAATCCATATAATTCTATGTAGATTGGACCCACTCAATATATTTTCAATTTTGACCCAACTTTTCCCTGGGTTATGAGTCCAGTCAAAAATTCTCGCAATCAAGACCGCTTTATAATATCTCTTAAAATCTGGGAGCCCTAGGCCTCCTTTCTCTTTAATTCTAGTCAGCATTTCATAGCGTATCCTCGGTTTTTTCTTCCTCCATATATACCCCAACAACATTTTCTTTAGTGTCCTGAAAAAAACCTCTGGGGGCCCCTTCCTGTTCCAACATGACTGCGCACCAGTGCACAAAGCATGGTCCATAATAACATGGATCAGCGAGTTTGGGGTGGAAGAACTTGACTGGCCTGCACAAAGTCCTGATCTCAACCCGATAGAACACCTTTGAGATGATGTCCAACATCAGTGCCTGACAAATGCGCTTCTGGAACAATGGTCAAACATTCCCATAGAAACACTCCTAAACCTTGTGGACAGCCTTCCCAGAAGAGATGAAGTTGTTATAGCTGCAAAGGGTGGGCCAACTCAATATTGAATCCTATGGACTAAGACTGGGATGCCATTAAAGTTCATGTCCATGTAAAGACAGGTGTCCCAATACTTTTGGCAATACTGTATAGAGTACTAGGGAGACACGTTAACCTCATTGATGGGCTTTCTCCCTAAGTACACTTAAGTGTATGTAAACTATAACAAGGCACTGGTCTTATTTGCTCCCTTTTGGTCTGGTAAAAATGTAATCGACAATTAGTTTGCTTTAGGTGTTCAAAAAGTGCAAATACTTGCAGATCCTACCAAAATCCATGTGAGCCAATAATATCCTGTGCTGTACTCTGATCTATTGTTCCTAGTTATCTGAGGATTTCAAAACACCTCGCTCCTTTGTTATGGAGAATCGTTGAGGGGGAGGTATTCTGTTGCCCTAACATACTTCCAGTCCTAGGGTGACAAATCTGTTTCTCCACAGGACAGAAAATGTGTTATAAGCAGGATTCAACAGAAGTCTGTAAAAAAGAAAAAGTAATTTTGATTTACCTGTAAATTCTGTATCTTGGAGTACAGTACAGGTTACAGGCAATGTATTATTATACAGTAACAGGCATGTACATTCAGGTGATTGGACACTGGCAAGCTTTTGAATTTCAAGTTCTGAGCTACTAGCCAGGCCTTAAGAGTTACACGCCACCAACGAGACACCTGTACACACACACACACACACACACACACACATGTACAGATACACACATGTACATGCACATGCATAAACAGACACACACAAACACACATGTACACCCACCCCCCTAAAAAGTTGCAGTCCTTCATTGTTCACTCAGAGAGCCGGGTACTGCACTCTAGTGGGAGGCAGAGAGCACAGCACACACTCCTTGCTTTGCTTTCACTGCACTCAGCTATGGAGCAGTCTGACGCTCCTAGTGCCAATAACAAATCCGGCCTAAGCTCCGAGCCTGCTCAGCAAGATGGCCCTGGGGGACACACTCACCCCCACCATAATTTCCACTCGCCATTGGTGAGCAGGTGAGTGGACATTTCAAGGCCTGCTGTAGGTGATGGATGACTTCTCTTTCCTGCAGAAAACTGAATGTCTCATACACCTTCAATTCAACTATTTGATCACTTTGACAGTTTTCTCAGCTTATTTAGGCCAAACACCACACATCACCTGATATGCTTAAATCCAATAAGCATTCAAGTTTATACAGCTTGGAGGTGTACAATATGCATAAAAATGATGCTTTGGTCAAAATACTCCCTTGCCTAATAATTGTGCACACAGTGTGATCACCAATCAGCCCATTGTAACTCATAATTGCAGCTGCAGCCAGAAACCCTTTTGACCAACACTTACTTTTTTCAGGCATCAAGAAACCAGCACACATCTTATCGAAGGACATCTGAATAACTTGATGCAACTTAATACACAAGCTACATTAAATAGTAACTAAGTGTTCTTATTTAAGTACAAAATGCAGTAGAACGGGGAATTTTATGTTATTAGAAGTTTACACATATCTACTGTATGACTGTATAATTAATTAAAGGGCTCTCTGCACACAGGGCATATATTCCCTGTGCATGCAATCCTGGTATTTTAGTGCAATCAGGAGGCACAGGTTCAGTGTCCAGCCCTGCCGCCTAAAGCCTGTCCACTTCTATGGCAGGCAGAATACACTGCATCTGGACAGGGCTAAAGACTACACCAAGTGGTACCCATGTACAGGGCCATATGCCTTCAGGGACAATTAGTGGGATCAACCTGAAAGGAAACTGTTAAACAATAGAACTTAAGAGGAATTCAAACTAAAATTGCAGCCATGGCAGACTGCAATGTAGGGCCTACCAGGGAAAAAATCCTGTTCATTGAAAAGTATAGCTAAATTTTTGATTTCTGATCATTAGGACGTTTCAAAGCATTGTCTACCGAATGAGATGGGAAAATAAACAACTTTACCACCAGAAAAAGTTGTTTGTGAGACACATGAGCAGCAAATGAAATTACAGAACCTCCCCAACCTGAGAGGACCCCCTGGATAAAATATATCCGGGCTCTTTTAAGGACTTTGAAGAAAGTGAGACTTACAATCGAAATATGACCATGAGAGAACCCAAACAGCAATACCTACAGCTAGATAGCAAGGAGAAAATACCAAGAGACACTGAAGCTGGAAAAAAGACAACAGACCATGTCCTATTTGAAGAATGCCAAAACCATGGAAGATAAGAAATAGCCTTTAGGCCTTAACAATCCATCCTTGTGTAGGCCCAGATTAAACTTAAAAAACAAGGCTCTCAGATCAGAAAAAGAACGACACAGGGGTTAGGGCAACCAGGGAGACAAGTAGTCTGGAAGTGAGCACAGGGTCATAAAGTGCATAAATATAAAAAAAAAAAATACATTAGCAATAAACCTGATCAATTCATAAAATAGGTACAACTTCAAAGCTGAGAGAGTGGCGAGTGTAAATAGTGTACTGGCTCTGGAAAAAGTCGTTATTCAATATTTGCTTAATTCATCTCTAAAATTCATTACACATTGATGTGCTTATATAGTGCAATAAATAATCATGCAAAATAATGCTTAAAGTTTCAAACACGAAAAAGTAGGATTAAGCATAAAGATAAAAATAGGAAGTCTGAAGATCTACTTATTCAACAAATTCTGTGATAAATTCCATCAGGAAATCCTTATAAAGTAACCCACCACTAAGAGGCACTCCTTACCAGAATGATCAGTTACAGGTGGGTTGATCTACCATAAAGAAATCAAAAAAGCAAACCGCAATAACCTGGGGGCAATCTCACATCAAGGAACCACCTCTAGTAGCCACTAGCTGGTCTGATATAATGGCTCCAGCAACTTTGCAAAAACTCTAGTGGACCATCAACCTAGTTAGTCCGGCTGAAAAAAGACAAAAGTCCATCCAGTTCAATCATAGAAAAAAAAAATTAAAAAAGTTATAATCCTAAACCCAGTTGATCCAGAGGAAGGAAAAAAAAAAAAAAAAACCAACAAAGCACGATCCAATTTGCACCTGCTGAGAAAAAAAAAATTATTTCCTGATCCCCCGAGAGGCAATCGGATATTCTCTGGATCAACTTTACCAATATTAGTATCCAGTTATATTGTGTGTATCTAGGAAAGAATCCAAGCCTTTTTTGAAACCATCCAATGAGCTGGCCAGAACCAACTCTTGAGGGAGTCTATTGCACATTTTCACAGCTCTCACTGTGAAGAAAGCTTTCCGTGTTTAGAGATTAAATTTCTTTTCCTCCAGACATCAAGAGTGCCCCCTTGTCCTCCGTGTTGACCTCAGGGTGAATAACTCTACACCGAGTTCACTATATGAACCACTGATGTATTTATACATGTTGATCATATCTACCCTTAATCTCCTCTTCTCAAGAGAATAAATTCAGTTCCTCTAATCTTTCCTCATAGCTGATCTCCTCCATGCCTTGTATCCGTTTGGTTGCCCTTCTCAAGTTCCCCAATGCGCTTTTTGTGAATTGGTGCCCAAAACTGAACTGCATATTCCAGATGAGGTCTTACTAATGATTTATACAGGGTAATATGATATCTCTCTCTGGAGTCTATACCTCTTTTAATACAAGAGAGGATTTTGCTCACTTTAGAAACCGCAGCTTGGCATTGCATGCCATTATTAAGCTTGTCATCTACCAGAACTCCCAGATCCTTCTCCACCATTGATTCGCCCAGTTGCACTCCCCCCTAGTATGTATGATGCATGCATATTATTAACCCCCAAGTGCATAACCTTACATTTATCAACATTAAACCTCATTTGCCACAGTTGCCCAATTAAACAGTGCATTGAGGTCGGCTTGTAAATTGAAGACATCCTGTAAGGACGTTATTCCACTGCACAGCTTGGTGTTATTTGCAAAGACTGAAATGGGATTTTCAATCTCAGACCCTATATCGTTTATAAATATATTAAAAAGTAAGGGTCCCAACACTGAACCTTGGGGTACACCACTGATGACCCCAGACCATTCAGAGTAGGAATCATTAACCACTACTCTCCGAATACGAACTTTTAGCCAGTATCCTATCCATTTACATATGGATTTTTCCAAGCCCGTAGACTTGACCTTACACAAAAACCCTTGTCCCTCTGGGTGGACACCATATGGCGTCCTTTCAGGCATGCGCAGTTTGTATGCCAGCAGAGTCGCGCAACGGCGCGATCTGTCACCGGCCGTGTACCTTGGATACGGCCGACAGATCTGTGTACCGACCCCGTTGCCAGTACCATGTGACCTGCTGTGACCAATCACAGCAGGTCACATGACAGTTGTATACAAAGGATGGCTTTCTATCATGCCATCCATTGTATACAAGTGTGGCTAGCTGTGAATGGTCACAGCGATCACATGCACAAGCTGGGCCAATCACAGCACAGCTGTGTCATGTGATTAGCTGTGGCCAAATCACAGTTAAGAAAAAAAAAAATAAACCCTGAATGAATCGATTTCATTCAGGTAAATGCTTGCTTATAGCAAAGTAATTATTTGCTATAAGCAAACTGAGTAAAAAAAAAAAAAAAACAAAAAATATAGATCACTTCCCCAAAGTGGTACAATGTTACTATGGTAACATTATACTATTTTGGTCATAGTGAAATAGTAAAAAAAAATCTTAAGAAAAAAAATGTAAAAAAAAAAAAATTAAAAAATTATCAATTTTTTTTTGCGAACAGTCAGCAGTGTCCCTGATCACCACCATGCCAGTTATAGGATGACACTGTACTGTACTAGTGACAGTATGTAAAAAAAAAAAAAAAAAAAAAAATTTCTTCATTTCCGAAAAATTACAAAAAAATTACAACTTCAAAAAACTCGCCATGCCTGTTATGAAATACGTCGGGCTGTCTACTTTGCAAAAAGGGGGAATTTGGGGGATAGCTGTACTGTTCTGACATTCCTGGACTTCAAGAATTTAGATTGGCTGTCAGAACTGCAGGATTGATCAATATTCAGATATACAGTATACCATAGTTTGTGAACGCTATAACTTTCCTACAGACTAAATAATAAATACTAATTTGGGTTATTTTCAAAGACATGTAGTAGAATACATTCTGGCCTAAATTTATAAACAATTATTTATTTGCAAACTTTTATAGCAGAAACGTATTTTTTTTTCAATGTCTTTTTTTGTTAATTTAGCAAAAAAATAAAAACCCTAGCGGTGATTAAATACCACCAAAAGAAGCTCTACTTGTGTGAAGAAAAATATAAAATTTTAGTTTAGGTACAGTGTTGTATGACCACGCAATTGTCATTCAAAGTATGAGCGCTGAAACCTGAAAATTGGCCTGGGCAGGAAGGGGGTAAAAGTGCCCTGTATGGAAGTGGTTAAACTCTCCAGTATCTTCCCAACTATAGAAGTTAAACTAACAGGTCTATAATTATTATTATTATTATACAGTATTTATAAAGCGCCAATAGTTCGCTCAGCGCTGTACATTACAAAGGGGGACAGAACATGTGACAGAACAATACCAATACAATGCAAAACATGAGGGGATCAAGGGCCCTGCTCTTTCGAGCTTACAATCTAGGAGGGAGGGGGTGGTGGCACAGGAGGAGATAGCTGTGGGGGATGGAGTGGTAGGAAGAGTGGAGGAGGTCGGCAAGTTAGCAGGGGGTGGGGTAGGCTTCCCTGAAGAGATGGGTTTTCAGGGTGCGCCTAAAGGAGAGGAGAGTAGGTGATAATCTGATGGGTTGCGGCAGGGAGTTCCAGAGGATGGGTGACACCCTGGAGAAGTCCTGGAGGCGGGCATGGGAGGAGGAGACCAGGGAACTAGAGAGAAGGAGGTCTTGTGAGGAGCGGAGTGTGCGTGCTGGGCGGTACTTGGATATTAGGTCAGAGATGTAGTATGGGGCAGTATGGTGGACAGCTTTGTACGTCAGCGTTAGGATTTTGAATTTGATCCGTTGCGCAATTGGAAGCCAGTGGAGGGATTGGCAGAGGGGGGTGGCGGAGACAGAGCGGTTGGAAAGGTGAATGAGTCTGGCAGC